TTTGACGGAGGTAAATGTGTTACGCAGGTACAAGTTTAAGATTTTTTTTGTTATAGAAAATTTATGGTAAATGTGTATTAATAGGCATAATTTAGGGTTTTTGGTGGCTTTTGCCAAAAAAAAAATATTTGACTCACATTCGGATACATTAGTAAAAATAGAGCCTCGAGTTGAACAAGGGGAGACTTTTGTAATGACGATAACTTTGGGGATATTGCAGTGATTATAAGCGACAAAAGGAGGGTTGAAGATAATTGGCTTCCTGTTTGATGGGACTCTGACAGATTGGACTTGGAATTTGGGTGAATCTGGTTGGTCGAACATCTTTTTCTAATGACATAGTCCCCACTAGCTAAATATTGAACTCGTTCGTCACGGTCACATGGCTAGTTGGGAATGCAATATTGCCACCGGCATCCTAAGTCCACGATTCCAAGTGTATCGAATCACGTGGGAATATGATTTTGTTTGCAGGGATAGTCTTTCTGATGTGAATAACGTGATGGGTGTGTACTTCCGGCCGACTCAAGTGGGATCTATTGATCAGCTTCGGTTGGCCAACAAGAAAGTAGGATGCACCTTAGCTTCTGCTTCTTACGTGACGAATTTGATAATAGATCCACTGGCTATTTGCAATTCGCCCTAATAAAGCTATGTTAAAGGGCACGGTTGGTTGGGACATTAGGGAATTTCCAGTTAAGAAATTAGAGGTCACTTGTTAACCCACCGTCTGAATACAAACCGCTTTGAATCAGGGTCACATGTACATATCAAATGCCCGGACTTGAATGGTTAGCGGCACTTGCAAAATATTCTGTATGAGTATTTAAGTAGCTGGGTCTCTACACCTTTACCCCTCGAATTATAACAAGAAATTACGATTCTCCTGCTCAAGCTGGAAATAAAGTGTTTTGTCACTAAACACTATTTGGCTTAGGATAAATGCTACCGGATTATACAGGGGCATTAGAAAATAAGGACAACTCCACCATTATTTTGGTAGGAAGACTCTTGCGATGGGACTAAACGGTCTCGAAGGTTTTTGATAATTAATCAATAGAAGTATAGCTTCAGCTGCATTTCCTTATGCGGCTCCCTTAAGCTATAATCATAGAAACCCTGATAAGATGACTAATTCAGTGGGAACTTTGAGGTTGCGTTTGATAGTCCGATCTTGAGTCTAAATAAGATAACAAAATATCATATATGGTGTTTAGTGACATCCTCTGGATTGGATATACCTATATAAAATGCCGGATAAAAAATATGGGTTATGGGGTGGGATTAGGAGTGAGCTTTTTCAGATTTTGTATATGTTCCACCTGGAACCTACTTGTTGGAACATGTTCCTCATTTTCCATAGCTTGGAACCTACCTTGTGCACCCTGGAACTTGGAACCTACATTGTCACAAGTTTCAAGATCTACCCTGGTTCCACATGTATTATTAATTGAACGATTGTAGTGAATCATCATTTTTAATGACCATCACTTGTTGCTACAATCCACTTACCATAACTTATATTTAGATACATGAAAATTATGAAACATTAACAAGAAAAAGTCTCGGCCATAAAATGGAAGTTCAGACTAGTGGTACCAGATTATACACCTGTTATCGAACGCTGTGGAATACCTCAGTATCACGCGAAAACATAAATTAAGAAAAATACAAAAAAACTTGTTCCCGGTTCCTTGAACGTGAAACCTGCCCATCGAAACAGGTTTTCCAATTTTTGGAACCTAGAACCTACCCTGCATACCTTAACCTAGAATTGGACAGGTTCCCATCGGTTTGATTCTTCAATTACAAATTCTATTGTGGAACCATGCTCATCTCTAGGTAGGACAAATTTGGATTGGATAAAAAAATTTAAAAATAACTTAAAATTTTTCTTTCAACATAGAGTGATGGAGTGAAGCATTTGGCTTTGCCGTGGCCACTCCGCAAGGACCACCTCCACGACAGCCAATGATCATCACTTTCAACCACCCTGCAATCACCATCGCCTTCGACCGCCGTCGATTATCAATGTTGTCCAGTCAATTGTGGTCCAACGACTGGGGATGAAAATGAGAAGTTATATGTCACGTGGCCATCAGCATCGAAGAACTCAAATCCCTTCACAAGTGCGTCAAATCCTTCGAGGTCATCGTCCACAACAGAGGCATGTTCGCCCTCATTACTCTCTACCTGAGTGCCGTCCATATCCACCTCCTCTCCGCCCCTTTCTACCCCCAGATCGCTAGCTTCGACGACAAGTGGCACCCGAGCTTCGCGCACGTTGTCCACCATCCTGTCGCCACCCTTACATCGGTCATTGCTGCCTCGACTACCAGATTGTCGCAGTTGCTACCTCCCAGGGTCGCTTGGCGACTCTCTCAGTGACCCGAACTAAGGAGAGTTGAAGAGAGCGGGTTTGAGACAGAGAGGGAGCTTAAGAGGCAAGATTTGGATATCAAGGAGATTGCGCTAGGCAAATGGGATTTTCAAAGATTTCTATTTTTATCTTGGATTTGCACCACACATGTAATGGACTTTACACAATCTGGAGGATATTTGGAGGATTTCTAATCCTTCCTTATTTTATAGTTTGGGGAGCCTCAGCATTATTGATGGCTCCTGTTCCACTTAATTTCCTTAAAGAGAAATAACTCGATAATTTATATAGAGAATCACGTGAGATTATAGTCACTGTACAAAGTAATCGGGATGTACATTACGCTTTTTACCCTAACAAATAATTGGCATTAACTTTCTTTCCATAAGTCATCAATGTTTTTTAAATATAAAATTAGAGAAACATTTTTTTTAATTGAGTTAGTCTGAAATATATTTATTTAAAACATTTCCATTTATAGTCAACCACTACTTCAAAAGTTTGTGGGTCACATCGCAATACAAAAGAAAAAAGAAAGACCACGATAATTTTTCATGTTTTTGTGGAGATTGAGACCCTGATCAACATTTTAGGATTAATTTACTTTTTCTAAATAGTTGGTACATTGGTAGCCTGATTATAGAAGGCTTAAAATTAGCAACATTGATCACTCATTTATCCTAATAATCTACCAATATACACACCTTGGAATAGACCACAACCCCATATTGTCACACATAAACGCAATCAATTTTAGTATAAATAGCATTACTCGAAATTCTTTTATAACGAAGCAAAGAAATACAACATATCAGGCACACAGCAAAATTTGAAAGGGAATAAGTACCATTAGTCGCGTATGCAGGTTAGGATTCATGACAGGAATTACTTTCGCGTGACTTGAGCCCAAGTGATGATGTTGAGGAAGAATCAAACATGATACATCATGCTTTTTGAAGCGCAAAACCCTTTAGTTATCTTACCAAATAGATCAACTCTCATTAGTAGTAATGTGAATGTGTGGTAAAAGGAAAGGGGAAAAATTTTCAAAAATCATGCTCAATCCCTATACTCGGCAACTTGAGAATTTCCAAAATGTTCATTTTAATAAAAATGTAACCTAGCTCTATAAGGGAAATATCATAAAAACTACGAAAAACTGGAGGGTACATAATATAATTTTCTTCCCGAGTAACTCTAGCATACACCGGAGGTGTAAAATTGGTTTTACACAAGTGGTGTTATTAACCCTTAATTTGAGGGTTTAACCAAGCACTCTCTCACCAACCCTCAAATCAAAGGTGATTGAGACCGTTCATGTAAAATTCTCTTTGCACCGATGGTGTATGATGTAATTTTCCCTCTCTTTAGGTTCTGTTTTTTTTTTTTTGGGGGGTCGGTCTCTCTTTAGGTTCAAGCAGATAACATATAGGGTCTTGAAATTACAACGTGCAAGGCTTTGAAGCTAAGCAGTACAAAAGTGCAGCAAAGGGAAAATCTGGTGACGGTTTTTCTAATTCTTCTCTTTTGCGATATCATACGGTAAAAAAACTTTGACTAGTCTTCATGTATATTGCACGTTAATTACACCACGATCGATTATCAAGTAAGACTCCTCTCATAAAAAAATCGTATTCCATCCATTGATATGCACACAAATCTAATTCACAGTAAATCATCGGTATGGCATAGGATGTCACGGGTACCACAACCCCTCTTGTCTTGAACGTCGGACATTTATCTAAAATGTTCTCCTACATTTCTAAACATATGCCTTTAAATTTATGAAAACTTCAGAAAATATATATAAATAACACGAATTCCGCTGTTACTTAATGTAACCTTTTGCATCCACAATTAGGGTAGGTACATGCTGTCCATGCTCTAGCTCATCAAGAATTAAATCCTAGTGAGCAGTGATTGATATTTCAACTGGCTCACTCCTATATAGGGGTAGTGACTAAAAGTACAATATGGGCTCTGGTGTTCATATGACAGCATGCTTCTGAAATCTGCAGGGGACCTTAGGCTTTACAATCCAAATTCATTCCTATCTGCTTTGTCACACACACCCACAAGGGGCAGAGAAAGGGGGGAAAGAGAAAAGAAACAAAAAGAAAAGAAAATGGTCCCGCCTGAAATTAATAAAATATGAAGTCAAAACCCTAACAGTACACCCAGTTAGATAACCAGAATTAGTACTACCAAATTATTCATCGCAAATTATTGCACTGTTTTTAAATATCAAGCCAAATGGTGAAGGAGATCAGAAAAACGAAGGGAGGAGGAGGAGGACAAGTAAAAAAATGTGCCAAGAACTAGTCCAAATGTGCAAAAGCTATCAATTACAAGCTCGTGCTCACCAAGAACAGCTGGCCCTTATCACAAAATCAAGACTTGAACAACAAAAAGCAAATTAATGATTAAGATAACGATGATTAGTCATATAAATTACACGCTTTGCATACACCCTCCTTCTTCAAGGCGATGACAGGGACAAGCTCACATGAACCCAACCAGATGATACATGAGGTCCCTACGTATAATCTCTCTCTCCCTCTCTCTCTCTCTCTCTCTCTCTCTCTCTCTAGAAGCCAAAGAGAATTTAATCAAGAAAGGAGGAGGAGAAAAATTTGCCTAACTTGAGAAGCTTCCGCGGAGGCACCTCCTGTGATCGAATCACAACCATGTGATTCCCCCTCCTCTCTCTCTCTCTCTCTCTCACTCTCTCTCTCTCTCTCTCTTCTCCGTGTCTTTGAGCGCGTGTCTAATCTATCCTTTCTCACACTAACTCTACTTTTTCAAAGAGGTCAACAACACTTACGAGCAACTTCAACCGTGTCTCCGTGTGTGCGTGCGAGTGAGGCTTTGAGACGTCCATTTTAGATGTGCCAATTAGTTTCGTGTTCGAGTCCTGTAGTGGGTCAAACCAGAAACCGCGGTGCGTCACTGTTACAAGAATTTTGAAGCTCCATCTCTTTCTTGGAAGCTCTCAGTCTCTCCCCCCCTCCCCCAGATTTTCTCTTCTGTCTCACCAGAATCTTTAACCTAGAAGAAGAACAACAAAGGTGGGTCTACAGTCAATTTGGCCCATTTTCTAGAATTAGGTTTCGGTTTGGTTTTGGCTCAGATCCAGTATCTGAAGATCGATTTGAACATTGGTGAAGAAAGAGAGGTGGACATGGATTTTAGAGAGGGTTTTGTGGAGTTCGAAGAAGCCCAGATTGTCAAAGGTAAGCAAAACCCTTTCTCTTACTCGTCCTCATCGTCTTCACCCTCTTCTTCCACTTCTCATCACCAACACATGAGAGGCTTCTTTCCTGCTGGCAACGTCAATAATGGCCAGTGGGACACCCAGACGGGATCTTGGTTAGCCCCCAGATTCGACCGCGAAGCTGACGGCCGCTCGAAGCCCGAGCTCATGGACGTGTCACCGCCTCGAGATGACGAGGATTCGCGTCCGCACGAGAGCTCGGCCGCTACCCCCGCTGCTCCTGCACCGCCGATTGAGAGGGAGCACATGTTTGATAAGGTCGTCACGCCGAGCGACGTTGGCAAGCTGAATCGCCTCGTCATCCCGAAGCAGCATGCTGAGAAGTACTTCCCGCTCGATTCCTCGTCTAACGAGAAGGGCTTGCTCCTGAACTTTGAGGACCGCAACGGGAAGTCATGGCGGTTCCGGTACTCTTACTGGAACAGCAGCCAGAGCTATGTGATGACGAAAGGGTGGAGCCGATTCGTGAAGGAGAAGAAGCTGGACGCTGGGGACATCGTCTCGTTCCAGCGCGGCGTCGGCGAGTTTGGCAAGGACCGTCTCTTCATCGACTGGAAGCGGCGGCCTAACGCCCCAGACCCTCCCCCGATGGCCGCGTTCCAACTCCCAGGCCCCTTCTCATTGCATCCTCGGGGCTCAGCGACAGCAGTCCCATGGGGCCCTTTGCTAATGCGGCCCGGGGCAGCTGCAGGTGCAATGCACATGTCCGCGAGGGACCACTTACAAACGTCGCACCTGGGTCCATACCGTAACAGTTACGGAGGCGACAGTGGTTATGGTTATGGTTATGGGAATGTGGTGAGCTTGAACGCTTGTCCAAATTCGTCGTCGGTGTATTACCAGCTCAGATCGAGCATCGGTGCAGGCACAGCCCCCAGGCAAGTGTCCGCTGGGATGGTGCAGGTTCATCAAGGTGGGGGAGGCAGTGCCGGGGGGAACGAGCCAGTGGTATTCGATTCGGTGCCCCTGGTCCAAGGGAAAGTTGCAGCCAAGAGGCTGAGGCTGTTTGGAGTGAACATGGAGTGCCCAATTTCGGAGTCCGATGACGAGTGCGACATACTGTCCTCAACCTCTATATCACATGCTTCAATCTCATCGCAAACCCACCATATGTCCTCTTCTCCACAGCAGCCTCCTCTCCAGTTGAGGCTATACAATGGTACGCCGTTGCCAACCATCCAGGCCGAGTTCTTGAACAAGGGAAAGGCTTCGGTCTCCTCATCCTTGGACTTGGATATTTGAAAGAAGATGACCCAAAAGGAATTGGCATTACATTGATTGGTTTTGGTTTATGTTGTCAATTCATACGATTAACCAGGGCCATAATTTCGTCAAGATGTCTTGCTCATTATCTACTGCAACTCTTGCATTTGTGGAATGATTGGAGGGCTTAGGCATTGAAGGGCAAGAATCGAGAATTGCCCCGTAATGGCAAAGTGTTTTGGTATGGTTTTGATGTGTGAAAGGGAAAGGGCGCATTTGAGAGAATCTGGGGTTTTCCTTGAAGACTTCGTTAGAGACATCGTCAAATGAGATAGAGAGGAGATCAAGAACTGCGCAGCCACCATTTTCCAAGAATTACATATCGAACAGTTCTTTCTTTTATAGAAAGAAAAACATTTTGCTTTGTGTATAAAGTACATATATGATATTCATGATCAACTCATTATAGATAGAGAGTCTAATATGGAGAGACATTTGATAGATCCCATCAATCACAGCCCAAGATTTCATGTCACTTTTGTTTTCCTTTTTCTTTCCTGTCTTCCATTTGGACCTGGTTTCTCCAATGTGTATTCATCCCATGGTTTCCACTGAATCAGCTCTTTATGATCAATCTTTATTCTCTCTTTCTCTCTCTCCCACATTTCGCTATCTCTATCTCTGCACTGCTTTCAAGTGAATAATAACAACTTTTTATGATTCCTGGGTTCAAGGGTCACAGTGCCTAGATTACCTGAATGCCATTTAAGTCTTGTTCCTCTCTCTCTCTCTCTCTCTCTCTCTCTCTCTATTTTGTTTCTTTCTCCTTCGTGTTTTTTTCCTTTGGTTTTTCTTTTCTGGGTTTTTGGACTTTTGGGGTCTCTGTGTGTGTGTGTGTGTGTACACTACTGTGTAGGTTGTTGATCTTGTCGCTGCTTCGTTCGGCACGCCTGCAGGTAGTTCAGAGAAAGTATTGCAGAGAGCTTTAAAAGGTATGATTTATCTTTAATCTCTCTCTCTCTCTCTCTCTCTCACCTCTCTTCGTTTCAGCCGCTTCCTTTTTTGCCTTCATCGTCTGCTCTCTTTCTTGCTCTTTTCGTGCTAAGGATTTCCTCCTTTTCTCTCTCGCCTGCTAAACCTTCGTGGTTTATTAATTGCTTGAAAGTCCAACTTGCCAATTCTTCTACATTTGCGCTTTTCTTTTTGGTATCGCCCTCCCTCCCCCCCCTTTTCCATTACTTAAGTAACTATCAAGAGATTCAACTCAACAACATTGTTGACACATCAATATGTTTAGCTTCAAGAGCAAAATTAGAAGTCCCTAAACTCTACACATAGAGATATCAGAGAGGCATAACGTAACACACCGATCACATTCTTGTTTAATTGTTTTGATTGCGTCTTTTCATTCCAATATATGCAATGTTCTACATTGATTGATGCCGTGCTAATCATCATCATAGTATTTACTTGCGTGCGAATAAACCTTCTTTTGATAAAAATAAAATAAAATAAGGACAACAACTTCTTCTGTCCATTGGGTCTTCCTCTTTAATAGCCATGCTATCTCTTACTTAGCAAGACTGTCAAAGTAACGCTTTTCTGTGATGTTTCTACTTATCCTTGATTGCCACTTTATAAGCCTTTAATTAGCTGTTTTATTCCTAAGCTTTCCACTGAAGTCATGTTTGATCTTTACCCGGAATAGTGTGATTAGTTAGGTAGTCTGATTTCAAGTGAACAAGCAAAACATGCTTGACATTAATTTACTACTTAGAAATTAGTAGCCTCTTAACTAATCAAGGCTTAGGCATATTATGCCTACAGGATAAGAGTTTATGGCGAGTGATTAGTGTGATTGATTTGAGACCTCAATTATATGTTTTGTTCGTTTCGAGTTGAATTTGATGGTCTCTATTTGTAGGCGTAATGCATTTGATTTAGATAACATTCTCTCAAATTCCAGCAAAATATCAAGATTTCCATGCAAGCACAGTTATTTTATTAATCGATGAAGTGACTTGGTGTTTTCTATTTTAATTCTTGAATTAATTTTGGCTTCGCTACTTGAAGTTGTTCCCAGTATTCCACCATATTCTCTATAATGAAAGGTAGTGAAATAAGATTTTTTGATGTTATTAGGGTGAAGTTAGCATTTTTCCTTGAGCCATTGCTAAAAGTTAACAGTTTCCTTTTACAACTTCAGGTAGGAAAAGTTATATGTATCTACCAACCACGTTCAATTGAGAAAACAGAAATATGTACTATTTCATCACATAAGATTCATTGCCTAGTAAATATATTAAAATTGCAATAAGTAGTACAAAAAACCGTGAAACTTTGAAAATAAGAAGCTACTCTCATAAGAGGAAAAAATAGGAGAGAGAGAGAGAGAGATTAGTCTAACATACCATGTAAATTCTAAAGCAATAAAAGCAGGAAACGCATTCAGTAGCCTTGTCTCTCATCTATATATCACTTTAAATTATCACCATCAAATGACTATTATCGAGATGATACATTTCTTGAGCCACGCCTTTAATATTGCCCGTTATGCCAAGCCTTTTCAACATCGATGTGAATTTCTCGACTGTAGAACAAGTGGTTTACTCTATATACGTTCAGCACTCCGTAGTCATTAGCTAAGCCTTTATGAGAATCCAGGTGGTACCATTTTGTTGCTTAACGTTGTCTGTTGCTTTTGCATAGGAAATTTGCGTGCACACTACTTAATCTTGGAGATAACCTCAAGTGGATCATTTTTCATACATGGGCATGTATTCTTTGGTTGAAATTTTGTAAGTCACGATAGCGGAGAGACCATAATACCATATACAACTAGCTAGAATTTCTAGAAGTTTTAGACTCCCAAGATCTTGTTTATCTATATATAATCCATCTGTATGCTCAGATTATAATGTGACTCGCAAAATGTTTCACAGACAAGCACGTTTAGACGACAAACGAACATAAAAGTTAATCAAGAACACAGTGCACATGCATGTACGTGAGCATCTTTATGCATTAGAAGTGAGTATCTGAGTTACACTTTGATTAAATGTTGGCCAAACAAGAGAAACTGTAATTCTCCTAAACGAACACTGCAAATTGTTCATCATAACATAGCTTGCTTGCGTATACATCAGGGCTGCATATTATTTTTCCTTGAATTGAAGCAACCCAAAAGCAATTTATAGAAGTCTGTCTACGGCATCTTGTTTCTGCCGATCCTTGAGAAGTGAACTTTGCGTAAGCACATGCGTGTGTGGGTGTGTGTATTTCTATTTAAGGGATGTGGACATGTAATCCTCATTGATAATTATTAGCAGATCATAGACTAAATGATTCCCAGAAGCGTTTCCAGATCATCTGTTCCTCAATTGGTGAACCATTGACTGAACCAGCTAGGTTTTGTTATACAACATTTCCTTTTTTTGACAATTGCCTCAGTTCTTGTCTTGACATCGGTGCAATGTAATTAAGTTTGGTTCTGAATATGAACCGGGGACCCATATCAACTATAGTGGCTCGTATATTCTCTAATAATTGATGATTTGCTTATCTTGGTTAGTTGATGAAAGAGAAAGCACCAAAGTTGATCTAATCATGGAGATGTAATTAGGCGAACACTCTCTCCAGAACCGTTTGTCGTTTGTTCGTCATATCTTCTGGAGATCATCAGTTTCCTATTATGTTTACTTTGTTTAGTTCGACTGGATTAGGAAGGTGTTATAACTTTTCTGAGGTATTGCATGGAGGATATACTTTAAGCATTTCCTATGAACATATACGGAGAAGCCATTTCTGCAAACATATTTGAAGTCATATTGGTATTTAAGAGAACTCGAGGTTCCAACTATGTATTAGGGATTTGCTGAGAGGTCAAACTCTCGAGTTTGATAAGAGAAATTCCTTAATCAAATCATAGTACCTTCCGTCCATATTACCGAAGTCATGCCTGCCGACGTCACTCTCTATGTACGGAGTCTTACTCAATACATGCATGCTCCTATTGGGGTTGAATTGATGCTTCACATAACCTTTATTACTTAGGGAAAGGGGAAAAAAGAGAACCCAGACTATATCTCCATTGACAAGTTGCTCGAAGTATCAATTAGAGTTAGAGTTGCTTCGAAGTTAATTCAAGATCTGCAAAAAGGTGAAATCATATGCGATGTGGCCATTTAGGTTTGCCGATGTTGCTTGCATCATGCTGCGTGACTCATTTACCTGATTTTGCGGTTGAGCATGTCCAACTTGAGTTTGATTACGATCGCATGAAAAATAAGCGTGTAGCGGATGGGTTTACATCTTTTAATCGATTTTAATAAGTTCATACAGATTTAATATGGTTAAGTACCTTTTACATGTTATTCCTATTAGGGATGAGCGGTTCCAAGTTTCGTACAAGTTCCATCCGGAACCTGGAATCTACCCGTTAGAACAGGTTTCTCATTTTATGGAACCTAGAACCTACCCTCCATACCCTGGAACTTGGAACCTACTCTATCATAGGTTTTAGGGTCTACCCATGTTTTTGTATTATTAATTGAATGATCGCAGTTAAACATCATCTTTTATGACCACCACTTATTGCCACAATCCACTGATCACAACTTATATTTAGACACACAAAAAATATGAAACATTAATAAAGTAAAAGTCTTGGTCATAAAATGAAAGTTCAGACTAGTGATTTCAGATCATACACTAATTGTCAGACACCATGGAATACCATAGGATCACGCAAAGACAGAGACAAAGAAAAACACAAAAACTTGTTCAAGATTTTAAGTTCCACCTACCTAGAACTTGGAACCTATCTATCAAAACATGTTCTCTAGTTTTTGAAACCCGGAACCTACATTGCATACCTTGGAATCTAGAACTGGACAGGATCCCACCAGTCTGATAACTTGTCCAATTCTCAGGTTCCAGGTTTTACTCTGAAACCATGCTCGCCCCTAATTCCTATTGACAAAATACTTTTGTACGCATTCATTACATTAGACACACTATTTTCATGATTAAAGTGTAAGAAACATTCTTAAACGTGTTATACAGGCCATGTGGGATGATTGGTATTTATTAAGTGTGTCATGATTAGTTTGAAAGATGTAAAGTGATTAACAAATATGCGATCCAATTCTATGAATTTTTTTTTGTTTTGCTTTTATATATATCTAAGATGATAAGAGTTACGACACCCAAAATACATGAATTATGAGTGTAGCATAGTTTAGATTTGAAAAGGAAATAGTTCCCTTAAGACCGTAATTTGGAAAGAAATTGTTCAGCTTCAAGATGATATACAATAATTTCTTAAAGAATTGCCGCCAGAATAAATGAAGGAGCAGCTGAATCAACTTAGGGTGCGTTTGTTTCACTGAAAATTATACAATAAAGGAGAATATTTTCCATTGAAATCATCTTCTAAGAAATTAGTTAGTTTTCATTTGTTTAGTGGATTAGGGAAAGCGATTTCAGTACGTCGATTAGTTTTTCGTCATCCAAACATCGAATAATCGAAAAATAATTTCCCGAAAATAATTCTCTTTCATACAAACGAACCCTGAAAGTAAAATGATTCAGCCTATCAGAAAGAGGACTACTTATTTCTTCACTTTGGAATGG